GCTGTTCCCCAGACTCCCCACCCGTTGCACCGACTGCCGATAAATCAAGCCATGGAAACACAAGCTGCTGTGTCGTTCCTGTCGAACGTGCCCCTGGATCTGCCCAAGCACCCTTCGCATCGGCAGGTAGTTGATGGGCTGGGTGTCCGCGCTGCTCCGCTGTTCCTCGCGATCTTGCAGGCTCATCCCGTGGTTCCTTTGCATCGAGACCCCCTGCAGGAAGTGCAAGCGCCTGCGCATCAGGCATCCGCTGCCCGGGAAGCTGTTCTGGTACATCTGCTGGCTGTTCCCCAGACTCCCCACCCGTTGTACCGACTGCCGATAAATCAAGCAATGGAAACGCAAGCTGCTGTGTCCTTCCTGCCGAACGTGCCCCTGAATCTGCCCAAGCACCCTTCGCACCGGCAGGTAGTTTTTGATGGGCTGGGTGTCCAGGCTGCTGCGTTGTCCCTCCTCCACTCCCTGTCGAGTATCCCCCAACTCCCGCAATGCCTTCTGATCGAAAGGGCAGTGCGTACCCAGCCCCTTGTGCTGCTTCTTCTCCATCAGCAGCGGAAATTCCCTTCCTTCCCGCAGCCGTCGGCGGCGCACAAGGGTCTGGCAACCTTTGACCTTCTTCCTTTTGATCTTCCCGCCCTGCGGAAAGAACAGATTCCGTTGCACCGCTTGGCCCATCAGGCGCTGGAGCTTCGGCCTGCTCTGCCTGTTCACCACCAGCTGCTGCAGTTGCCTCAATTACCGCAGGACTCGCACGCCCACGAGGCTCTTCTGAAGGCAGATTGTGCGCATCACTCCCAAAAGAGTCTGCTGCTGCTGAAGCGTCCGCAGACCGTGGTGGTGTGTCAGGTGTACGTGGTTCACGCTGACGCTCCCTTGGAGCTTGCCCTTTTTTCTTCGGACTTTTATGCGTCCTTTTTGGTTTGCACGTAGCGGCCTGCATAGGAGAAACAAGCAACCACAGTCACTCCACAATGGCGTGCGCGTGCGTCACCATGCCACAGCAGATAAGAGGTGAACGCCTCGCTGGGCAGGGCACAGAGAACTGGACAATGCAGAAAAAGGAAGCTCATATGCGTCACGACGAACTACGAGGGCTCTTTCGAGTGCTTGCGTGTTTGTTTATGCAGGACACCGTACTTGTTCCGCGAGCCGCCTCTGGGACCAGGCGTTCAAGCTCCTTTTGCCTGCTAGTTGCAATGCACAACGAACGAGCAGGAAGACCACGACCGTTGCGACCACCGCGTCGGCAATGATTCGAAAACTCCGGCTGGGCATCCGGCTCCTGTGACTTATCTTCGGAACAGCGAACCCATGGCCATAGTCCAACATGTATGTCTTGATAGTTCCATCTGCTGCAATGCCTGAGTCCCCTCCACCCATTTTCTTCTATGCACGCTGTCAGGTGGCGGCAACTCTGAATTGCTCCACCGGTTGAACGAGGGGGAGATGCCGCCACCGCAGACGACACAAAAAACGGCTAATCGAGGAGGTCTGAAAGGAAGCTCACGAAACAAGCAACAACGCCCAAACTGTATGATTACCTTTGGGCTCAATAGCGAA